GAGGGGCAGGTCAGAGCAGCCCTGCTGACCTTGCACAGGGCAGGTCCCCCCTCACCTTCGCCTGGGTCAGAGCCTGTGGCAGAGGAGCCAGCTGTGCCCAGAGCTCCTACCTGGGAGATGCCCGAGGGAAGCAGGATTCCTCCTGTTCCCCCAGACTACCCGGGGCATGGCCTGCAAGCCTGCCAGGAGCTCTGGTGAATACCCAGCGGGCAGATGTTGCAATGGCCCGTGTTGCTTAGCTACCCCAGGAGACACCCCAAGCACCAGACGTGGCACCAGCACAGGGCAATGGTCGGAAGGAGGGTGCCAAACTGGCTGCTACGTCGGACTAGCTGGGCTGGACCCCGTGACCAGTGAGTGCTGGGGCAGTGGCCATACCTCAAACTGGCCCCTGGAACCGTTGCCCCAAGCCCCGGCCCTGGCCCAAGGCCCGGTCCGTTCTGGGCTGGCATCGTTGCTCAGCTGGCAGCAGGAGCCAGGTGCTCTGGGGTGACGGAAGCTTTGCCCAGATAGATGCGTTCTCGGAGGATAGACCGCTCCAGGGACCATGCAGTGCGCCCCCTGTTGGAGAATCTCGGGGGCACCGCCTGGGGCCAGAGCCAGGCAACCCTGATTCCAGCGGAAACCTTCCTGGGCCTGACAGAAGAAGCATCTCCACTGTGGGTGCGGCAGCTGGGCCCCGGCTGGCTTCCCTTGAGCTAGAAGCAGCGTGCTGACAGCTCAGACCCAGCCACGCCCAGGGGGTGGGGGAGTTAACTCAGGCAGCGCATCTACACTGTGACTTTTACTGTTGCTTAGCTCTTTACTGCCCTGGGGGGCACAAGCCACCCCCCGTGTCCCCTCTTTATGGGGTATCAGGTTGGGGAGTGGGTCAGAACGGGGGCTCAGTGTCAGAGGTTGGCAGGTCTCCACACTGCTTCTCAAAGTTCACTGCAGCGAGAGCCCAGGACAGCCCATGGTCTGTTAAGGACATGTCTCCTCAGCGGGAGGGAGATGCCAGCGGCTCTCCAGAGAACGTCCCTTCCCGAGAGCTGGGGGCAGAGGCAGTAGCCAAAGTGGGGGCCGCCCCTGGACTAGAGTTGGGGGGCAGGAACAGCTGCCACAGGGAGCCACCCTCTGACTTGAAGGGGAGCAGAGGCACCAGCCTTGGGGAGCCACCACTGACCTGAGGCAGGGTAGGGGCACCAGGCACAAGAAACTGCCCCCAGACCTGAGGGTGGCAGAGCTTAGAGGCCTGTGAGACAGAGCCTGGGCAAAGTGGAGGTAGCAGCCAGCAGCCCAGACATGGTTCTTTGGTCTCATGGCCCAGCCACCCGCCTCCGGGGCTGCTTACAGCCCTCCACCTGGAGCCCTGCTCAGCTCGCTCATGGAGTCACAGGTGGGGCTGAGGCCCCAGAGCTACAACCCATGGGGGCAACTGCCCCCGCCCACCTCTAGGGTGCCCCGATTACACCTCCAGCTGTCTCCTCACTCCAGCAAGGAAGCTGAAAGGCTAAATTCCCATTTCATTCCATGCAGCAAAGCCAGAGGATAGACAGAGGGTATGTCTACACTACCCCGCTAGTTCGAACTAGCGGGGTAATGTATGCATACCGCACTTGCTAATGAAGCCCGGGATTTGAATT